GGAGAAGAATATTTACCCCCTGATACATAATACAAACGAGTGCATCATTTGTAACATCCATATATGGTTTGATGACGTATCCGGTAATTTAATTTTTCTATATCTGGTATCCTCCTCTAGTTTTCAAGGAGTAGATATAAAGCTGTTCAGATTGGAACGGGAAATAAGCGTTTTACTCTTGTTTTCCTTTTCTTTTAGTTGTCCTTATTTTGGTAATTATTTGTCATACAAGATGTGCGACGATAAACATGAAATTTGTGGAAAAATAGTTTAATGTTAAATAGATTTCAAATTATAGATTTCATTTCATGTTTACAAGTTGGGTTTATTATATGTTGTTCTCATCATATTTTAAAATTTCTTCACCTCTATGTAATAGGTTGGATAACTGCGATCGAATCAAGATAAACAGATTGTGTATCGTAAATTTATACTTTTTTTCGATACAGTTTTACGCTATTGTAGATTAACTGGTACAATGACAGGATACAATCAGAGATATTCTTGCCAGGATATATTTAGCTTTGTTTTCACATTACTGAAATGTTGTTAAATGGAAGGGTCAATCGTGCACATACGGAACATGGTAGAACGCCCTCCAGGCTTGCGATATATGACCCCCTCCCCCAAAAAAGGAGAAAGAAAAAATTTTAAGCAGCTCTCGTGAGATTGAAGAGATTAGTGAATTGACCATGACGCAAAGCCGTTGGCGAGAGCGCAGTGACTCGCGGCGCCGACCGTATCAGACTACATAAACAGAGCAGAACAAGACATTTAATTTATTACATTTGATCAATAATTGCAAATCAAGGAAATCAAGCATGTGATTCACAAACTCACCTGTACTGGTGTATCTGTACTGGAACTGGTTCGGCTAGTTATAGTGTCCGTGAAAGCGTCATGCAATGCTGTAGATTCATCACTTTCTGAATACCAATAAGCCGTTCCACCAGTCTCTGCTGACAGTTCGGCCAAACCAGGATCGGCCTGGCTACTAAAAGCTATTGTGTCTACAACTATTTCTTTCTCCACTAATTCATCGATAACGTCTGATATGTATGGGGCTACATTTTCTCGCCCATCAGTCAACAACAAGAAAATTCCACCAGCTGGGTCCTTCCCGCCGTATTCGAGAACCTAGTGGAGAGCAAACAATTTCACCCTGTCGTCAGGGATATTTGTAATTTGAAATACTCGGTGTAATGCAATGGAATAAGTGACATACGATGAGGTGTTAATGTATGATGCGATGACGTGACGTGACGTGACCTGACGTGGCGTGACGTGATATGATATGATGTGGTGTAATGACTGGTGTGACGTGACGTGACGTGCTGTGACGTGACGTGACGTGACGTGATGTGATGTGGTGTGGTGTAGTGACTGGTGTGATGTGAAGTATTGTGGCGTAAGTTATTTTTTAATGCTATCTGACGTGGCCCAGTGTGCGATGAAATGCGATACGTGCGATATAGTGTAGTGTAATGCGATAATACGTCTGAGATGCAACTTATAACAATACCTCGATGCCAGCTTCTAGACCACACCCAATACACGTATCTTCGACAACAGTTGTGGGTAGGTCACTAATTATTTCCTGCCGGCTTTCTAGATCACCAACTTGCTCAAGATAAGACAAAATGGTGGCGTTGGTGCTAAATTCCACGATACCAATCCATGTGCCATTGGGTACAGTATATCCTATGTATTTTGTACTCGCCTGAATCATTAGCATGAAACGATTTTGCTGAAGAAGAAAAAAAAACACGTTATAGACGGTTATTTGAATAAATGTGTTGCATTGGTTGTGTTTAAATGAGTATTTCTTTCATGAAATAGTGAACTATGCTAATGCGCATGCGCTATAAATCACTGGTACGTGCTATGAATGCATTATTTTCTGGAACCCACTTTGTGATGTGTGTGTTCGAAAGAGCGCTAAATTTTAAAATTGAACCAAACTCTCAAATTCGCCGATTTCATTAACAAGATAATTCAGAAATTAATATTAAGAATAATGCATAATGAAATTATTCCCTAAGCACCCATAAATAATTACATGTATCATAATTATCGATTACACAAGAATATTACAAAAAAAGATAATTTGCTAAATTCTTTATAAGTTTGCCTTTTAATTTTTCTTGAATTATGACTGAAAGAAGCTGAATGAAACTATGTAGTGTGTTCAACAACTCATGTATGAACATTAACTTTAATAAATATGATTTTTACTTGGTAAAAACACTGTATTTTACTGCATAAAAACGAAAGAATTTCACAATGTTGAAAACGGAGTCCTTATCGTAGTCTTATTTGTTGCTCAGTAGAGAGGGGGCAAGGGGGTAGCTGGTACAGTTTTACGGGAAATAAAAAGGGCTTTTTACAATTTACAAGGAAATAAAAGACGTTTTTTCAGTTTACAGTGAAAATTGAATTTTGAAGTGAATTCTGTCATCTATTCGTTTTACAGTTTCGAAAATGTAATTTCCCTGGATTATTCTTTACGACTTTTTTTATTTGGATGTAAATTCTTGTACGTACCGAGAAAAATGACACATTTTTACAGTGTACGAACAAAATATTTGATTGATTATGTTGTACGTCTATCCTGTGATAACAGAATTACGGAATTTATTTTTACGTTTTATATTTACGTTGTACGAACAAACAAATATTGCAATTACGTTGAACGAAAATACCCCCCCCCCCTCAGTACCATAGTCTTTTCAAAGCTATATGTTAGTATTGTTTGCTTAAATGTTGAACTTCCGTATACTTACAGTACTCATACTCCCCGACACATCGAGAATCAACACGATGCGTAGATCGCCTTCCTTGACGACTAAGAACGACGGCATCACATTGATATTGACATCCGTGCCGTTGTTCTCTGTAAAGTCTGTGTGTCGTAGCAGTACGTCCCACGTGCTTTCATAACGGCAATGCGTATTATGTTTGTTCAGCGCCAAACGATTGTGTTTTTCTTCTATGTTCTTGTCGTCATCACTGTGGCAAAATGTCAAAATCTAATTGCAAATAAAAAAAATAGACAAGAATGACGATACCTGATTAGAAATGTGCAATTTGTACAAAAAGTTTCACCACTGTGCACGCAAGACGTCGGATAGCTGGCTCGGTGATATCTTTGTTCATGTGAGCTTCGAACATTGTAAATCGAGTCTCACAGTTTATCTATTATTTCGAAGTCACATACTGTGGAGTCCACAGTAATTTTCCAATAACTCGTGCCTTCTAGAGCCAACGCGTATGTGAAGTAAAAATAGCGTATATGAATAAAAACTGTGGTTCAAACTGTGATTGGTTGAATTGTCGTTTGTCATTTAGATTGTGTCTATTAACCGACGACTTGGGAACGTGTTGTCGCTAGGTGGCGCTGTTTATATGCAAGACTTAATCTCGGAGCAATCTCGTCCGAATATGATTTATAAAACACATAAAATCACCACTCACAGATTCAACATACTGCGCGTACATGTACGATCCTGAACCAACGTTTTTTCGCATATAAGGAAAGAATCGACACCCAGGACTTGGCATAACGCCACTTTCAGGGTCGGTGTTACACGGTATGAAGTCGTTATATAAATCTAAACTCTCTCCTACGACAGAAGCGGAACATCTTGTCGGCTGCACTCGGCCATTTTCGTCATAATAGAAATGCTCGTTATCTTCAATGGGGTACTCGTCGTACACACCCCATCGTAAGTGGGACCATTCGTGTACAATCACCTTTCCTGCAAATACCAGAAAATAAGAAACACAAATATTGTATGCGCATGTTTGGCATTCAGTTGCGGGATTGAAGGTAACTACTGAACGTTTTTAAGACAGTCTTACGATGAGCGATGTTGGCTCGTCTGCCGAGGTTCAACCCCTATACTACTATTACTGTGTATTTTAGAGTCACGTCTTCGCAAATGGTTATTAATTTACATTAAACAAAATTATTGAAGCATTGATTTATTCTTGATTATATGTATGTAATTGCGATCATATTTTAGAAATATACAAGTGCTATTTCCACCTGATATTTTGATTGAACACTGAATTATTTTGATTGATATTATCGATCATTATCATCGATCAGGCATTGATGGTCTTTAAATCTCTAGTTTTAAAAAATTACAAAAATATATTGGTTAAACATGTACATGAATGGAAAAAAGAATAATTTACTATACAAAACAACGAGATGTGAGCTTCTTGTTTTTTGTTTTGTTTTGTTTTGTTTTTGTTTTTGTTTTTGTTTTTGTTTTTTGGTTTTTGGTTTTATCGACTTTCTTTTTTTTGGAGGTTATTTTGTGGAAAAAAAAGTGTCTCGCAGAAATTGACAAACCTGATCAATTTCACTGAGAAGGAATGCTAACGTGAACCTTATTATTAGTACCAGTTGTCTGATCTTAAACAAGATGGCTTGCAATGTAACTAATTTATTCAATGCCATTCTTGTGAAACAGTTTAATTAGTATGCAAATTAAATCCACTGTCTTTATGAGATCGTCACTCAGTCTGGTTAATGTAAATGTACAATATAATGTTTACCTGCAACCTTTAAATGTACACATTACGAAGAATATGCATCGGGCACAGTAAATTTGGACAAACCGACGATGAACAAAAAATTCAATATAATGTTACACACTAGTAATCAGATTTTATTTTATCTTGGTTTTATCTTGCAGCTACCTTAAGTTCAGGCTGTATTTCTATATTGAGGGCGTGATCACGAAATTAAAATGAAAATAGTACATTCTACCCTTTTAGTACCGTTAGAGGGCGCCCTAGTTATTCCTCTTTAATAATGACTGCTTACCTGGGTCGCCCCAATAATACCAACTATACCTCTCGTCTTTGACCCACCGTTCCGTCAGATGAACATACTCCCCCGGTTGTCCACATTTGAGGATTTGTTTCGTATACGGATTGTCGCCGTAGTGAGGGTGGGGTTGATCTACTACGATATTAGCAATGTCGAATCTCTCTGTGGTTGCGTCGGCTTCTTTCAGCTTATCGCTCCATGTCCTCGGTATGAGTATTGTTACATTGTCAAAGTATGCGTAGTAGTTAGTGGCAGGGTGCAAATGCGAAGATGCGTCAGTGAATATTTCCTGTGAAAAACAAAACGAAGTAGGAATAATCATCTTTTTACCTCCATGGAATAATGCACAGAAAAATCCACTATTCTGTGGTCATAATTACTGCACGGTGTTAATCAACTAAGTACATATTTTGAATTCTGAATTTCAGGCTCGTCCACAAAATTCTTTCGTGGCGATATCATAAATGCCGGCTACGTGTTCTTTATATATCACATACGCAGAATATTCACTCAGACAGTGTCAATTGATTTAGTTATTTAAGAACACAAAGAACGACAAATCTACGGAAAATGTCAAAATAGTTGTCGAATGCGTCCTTTTCTTTTAACACTGGCAACAATGCTTCATTGTAAGAGAAAGCGCTAATATGGTGAGAGACTCTATTCTAAGTCAACACAACCAGACAGAGTACAACAGTTCAGATGCCCGTAAAGTCATAATACATGCAGTACAATATATCTTACATCACACATTGTTTGCACTGATATTGTTAATGCGTCGAATCTAGGAATTTATTTCGTAATACTACGCCAGAATGCCGAATGCCATATAACTGTCACGGTGCAATCCCCCAATGTTGACAATTGTCTAAAAACTGAGATAAACTAAATCTAATGACACGAAACTATATCCGATATTGCACAGTATTCACATTTGCCCTTGTTGTCATGTGTGCTTGCATGTATGTATGGGGGTCTAAAAACTAACTCTGCGACGCGATTGTTCGACTCGCCGAATGTCGATTATTGCACTCTGCGAATATTAACGAAACGGTAGTAGTGTTAGCGTTTGAGCACTGGTCTATCCGAAATTTGGAAAAGATGGGATGATGAATCAAGGTACATGTACAAAGTAACCGTTTTATTAATTATTGAAAAATCAAGAAGAAAAAAAAACCGAAAATTTCCCTTCCCACTACATTAAGATCAATATGGACCACCGAAATTTGGCGTTCATTTAAAAAAATAAACCATAATTTTCAGTAATACTGACTTCGAAAATTATGATACACAAATAATTCCATTCATACCACAAACCAACGCCGTTTTTGTTTACTTTTCACAACTGTTACAAAGTATTTCATTTTCAACCAGCTAATCGATCGTAGACATGGAACTATAAACCCCTTATAGTTCCATGATCGTAGACCACAAGTTTGGAGTCCGTTTATGATCTAAACGAAGGCAGACGATTGCAAACAACTGCTGTCATGGCAAAACGTTGCACATCGTGAATGATTTTTTTCACTGCTTGCAAATTATTGCACTTGCACTCAACAAAGTCAAAGCAGACGTACAACATTCGTTGCAGAACGCGTGAAAAGCTGCCGCCTATGCTAATGAGCATAGTCGTCGGGACGAAGCCTTACAACTCCAAGATGGCGATAACGTTACACCGTAAATAGGCAGTCAAAACCAACGTGCACGTTACACTATTTAAGTTTTCTAGCCAGCGGTGTGATGCGTCTAATCACCGTAAACCGTGTGTCATTTGTTTGGTCCTACAAGTTGTCTTCCATGTGCTTGCCGATTACCCAACAGTGCGGCATGTCGCCGGTACATAGTGTTTACACACTTTTTTTTTACCGTACCATTTTTACCATTTAAAACTTAATTTTTTATAAGGCATGCGGTGAACATCGACCATTGGGATTCACGCTTTTCGACCAACCAACCAATGCGAATCGCGCTCTTCGCAGAATGACACTGCGATCCTGTCGCAGAGTGCAATAATCGACATTCGGCGAGTCGCACAATCGCGTCGCAGAGTTAGTTTTTAGACCCCCATACATACCTCGTGCTTGATATCGTTTGACATTACAAAGTCCTTAGTAACAAGAAAAGTGACGTCATCTGTTTTGAAAACAGTGACCACATCCTGTTCCTCTCGAGATAGACGCTGTACGTCATTGTGAGTCACAATCACATGATTTGTGTTAGACAATCGTGGTATATATCAGACCTACGAGTGTTATTGATGACATCCTTAATCATCTTACAGTTACCATAGTTACAAGCTCATTATATCTGACAACAACTGCATCTTAAAGCAAGTCGTTCTATATGATATTATAATATTCCTATGCTAATAGTTTGGAAAAGCCGGGGAAAGACCTATAAATGTTGTCTATGCACTACATGCACTGCTATCGCTGAATGGTACATCCCATAGATTGATGAAACTTTTTTTTTTCTAATGCAGTCTACATAGTAGAAAATTGATCAATGAAAATGAATTGGGAATTGGAAGGGAAGGGTCCAATCTATAAATACGACGCAGAAGAATCAGATTATGGTATTTCCTTTTTGGAGACGCGATATGAAAGATGTTTTAATGTTGTATGTTGATAACCGAATCGGATTATGGTTCATCAAAAAACGTTGGTTTTGCACCACACACAATATTCGTTCGCCAAAAACATTAAAAACTCTAATATACGTGCGGGCGTTTGTATTGTACGTACGAAAAAAAAACAGACCACATGCGCATTAAAATATGCCATTGTTTGATTGAGCGAATATTGGCATATAGATGTGTGTCACAATATTTTTATCCATATATCATTTTAAAATAATCAGATTTTACCTGCGTTGGCAGTTTGCTCCATAATTTGAAACCAAAGTATAAGTTCGAACATCATGTGTGACGTTCAAAATGATTAAAAATCGAGAACAGCCTATTAAAATCTTTATAACATGATACTAGTAATAATTTACTGTGGGTAATACTCGTATCTATACTAGCGGTATCATCGTGCCACGATACATTGAATAATCCTGTCGCTGGTCTTCGTAGTTTTTTGGGGAATGTTATTGAATCCATGGTACCAAATGAACACGCATGCGTAGAAATAGGTGTGTCGTCAGAGTACATGCCTAAGTTATCAGATATAATTAAGTTTATTTAGGGGTATTCAATATTTAATTTTGTTTGATCAATAATCATTAATAGAATAACCAGCTGTGGAATAACGTCTGACGATTATGACATCGTTGAACAGTGGTCATTTCATCTTTTTAAATCTTAGTTAACAATGTTAATTCCAATGCCTTGCGCAGATCGAGAAAACAAATCACACCCAATAGAGTCCAGTTTTCATGAATGTAGTGCTGTTTGTAATTTTTTTCAGTATAGCTGCCCATGCGATCAAATTGAACTTATGTTTGTTTTTTAATAATTTCTGACGCGGAAACAGACCGGTAGTTATTAATTGTACCGGAATCTCTATTATGCAGTGTTAGTTATATCCATCCAAATGATCATAATTGGGAATCTAGCAATGACAGTGTGCCATTCCGTAGCGTGACACTATTTTAACATATTCTACCGCGTTCAGATTGTATATCAATTTGAGTTGGGCTCCGTGACATCACAGTTTGAATAAAGAATACATAATAAATGTCATTGATACAAGTACATGGTTGCACGTATCACGATGGATCATTGTGTAATGAAACTTCTGAGATGAATCAGACAACAAATCCATAGCAACAATGTATTCTGCGGTTACGTAGCTTATATATAGTGACCATCTTTTTGCAATCGATAACTATTGTTCCAGCGTAACATTTTTTGTTCTGCTCTATTAAAAATCGCAACAGTTCTTTTTTCTCACTCCTTCACGAGTTTAAACATATTGCCGAATACACATAGCGATTATAATACAGATAATGTCACTTCTGAAGTCTTCTTATATATACATATAAAGTACCGATTGTCCTATTATGATGATCTTCATCGCGTATGTGTCCCGTTTCACCCCTGACTCATATGAGCAACTTTTGATTACATACGATTGGTAGACCCAAATGTGTTAACAAGGTCTAAAATAAAATCTCGAACGAAAATGTTTGAAATGTTGGTAAATTTCTGTAACGTGTCCACAGTTTATCAACTTCGCAAAGTGGCATAGACACCGTGACGGTGCCGCCGAAAGTCTCAATTTGATTCCGTTCTGATGCTACCGTTTGAGATAGTATTAATTCATATCATAGTTCACAAAAACACAAAATCTCTGATGAAAACCGAAACGCTTTACCTTGATTCGATCGATTAACTCAGAATCTTCCTCAATACTTTCGTGTATCGCCACCAGTACTGTACGGTATCCATTATTTTCCAAATAAACGGGATTACGGCTACAATTCGCAAAAACCGCGAAATATAAAGTCAAAATAAGTGAAAATCTCATGATCATTATCTTCGTGGGTTTACCGCCGCTTTTTTCTTCACTCAAATTTCGACTGCGGCCGATTGTTCAGTGTTCCGCCAAATAAACGAGGTGTGGCTCGGTATTCCGCTGCTGTTGACACTGCCAGTTACGGAGGCTCGTCTTTCTGTATGTATCATTTATATAGCAACACTCTAAAAGTTGTTGCTATGCTGAACAAAACTAACAGTGAAATATTTTTTTAAATAAGCTAGTGATCGGTTTGGACTCCTGTCATATACCCCCGGTTATTGGGAGCAGCACTCCTGGGCGAATCAGTGCGTAATTAATTTGTGTGCTTTACCAACGCCGGTGTTTACGACGTTCTATTTTGACTACCTATTGATGGACACTATTTATGCCATGAGAGAAAGGAACTTACGAAATTCAACGTTACTTTCCAGACTTTCGGATTTGTCAATCATGCACGCAATCGGGGATTCTCACTTGAACGTACGAGACTACCGCAAGTCGGGATTAAACTAGTTTTCTGTTTTGCGTTGAATATTACACCGCAGATCGAGAAGAGAATAGGTTCGTAATGAGAATCCCAAGCACTGTGTGTAGTTACACTCAGTTGTTAGTCCGCCGGGCGTGAAGTTGCTGACCTGGACAACATGTTCTCTTTTTGTCGCGACTGTGTGTCAATAAAATTGTAATTCAAGGCGCCGACAATATTATCTACTATATGAGTGAACAATGAAATGATCAGTTTGTATTAAAACTATATTAAAACTATATATCGTAAATTCGTTCTCTTAAAAGGTCGCCCTTTATTTTTCCGTAATATTGTGATACATGTAATGATCTAAAATCATACATGACCTGCTGTGTCACAACATTATCACACATGCCAGGATGTGCATGGTAAGAACATGTAGACAATATCTAGGCAGCAGGGAGGGGATTTGTATCTCCACAATATACCCTAGATGCAAATGGCTGCCGAGATCTCGTTGAGAGCGAGAGAGTCGCGGGAATTGTTTTCGCTTCCCAAATAATGTTCCATCCCCTCCAATCATCGCACCAATTGTTCAAAATACCATGGTAACTTAGATCAAGGGAATCTTGAATAAAACGCTATTTGAGAACAAAAACAATTCTCATGTTTCTCTCGCGCGCAACGAGATTTCGGCAGCCATTTTGTGTCTAAGATTCCGTCATACCCCGTACTACACGCCTGATACCACAATAATGTTACGTGGATTTAAAAAAATGACAATAAATGTTGTTTAAGAAAAGCAATAAAATGGCTGATTTACATTTGATGTGTACCAGGGTAATACTTTCTATAATATACTTAAATTCAATTGCAAATCATTCAATTTGTAATTGTTGTGTTGCATTTACTAATAGCGACCTGTTTGTATTGCTAGTTGATTGTGCTCTGGTGTGAGTTCAGATGTTTCATTGTAATTTAGATTTTGAAAACACTGTACCTGTGTAATTTTCTTTTCTACTGTTATTACTCTATTACTTCTGTAATGACATTACAGGAGGTGATGATGGCTATGTTCGAGGCGTGGGCAATAAGATAGGGGTGCGCCGCCAGTACCTCTAGACTCTTATCATTTGAGAAACAGCCGCGAAAATGGATGTTCCTAAGTTCTGCGAAAAGTGGATATCCCTTTACTGAGTAGAATTATTTAAGTTTTTATCATATGAGCCGTTTCCCAGTGGAAATAAGTTATTGATTTTCAAGGATTGTGGTGAATCTTTTTCAGACTGGCAAAAAAGTTGGAAAAAAATGTCCAGACTCCGTGGCACAAAAAATGGGTTATGTTGTATCGCCAAACATATAATTGTTGTTGTTTTATCTGGAATAACTATTTTTAAATAGTTTTTTTCACCTTTTTGGCAAATTACGAAAAGTGAAAAACTAACTAAAATATTTAGATAAAACAAATATCCGATAATGATCGTAGTGTTATTTTTATTGCATTTGCCAGTTTAACTTTCCTAACTTTTGCTTTTCTCATCGATTCAATTTGTTTATTTCAGATTGCAACTTAGGCTGACCGCATTCTCAACGTCACCTTCACTGTTTTGTTAATCTACTGAAACTTCCTTCATAGCATTGAGGGTGACATGTTACTTTTTTGTCATATTTCCAACATACGCATTCAGCGCACGGGGACTCTTGTAAGGAAATCAGCATGCCTGGCTCCGATGTGTCGGGAAATAGTATCGGTAAATTCAGGGGTTCACTTTTCAATATTAAAAAAAATTATAAAATGCAATAAATACAACATGTTTCGCCTTTGGTTAAAATCGATGATTAGACAACAATTTCAGTTACCACTATTTATTATTATTATAAATTGAATCCACTTGAACAATGTGAAATAACAATGGCACTCATTGTTTTCGTGCCAGGTTTGTGAAATTAAAACCCAGTAAGACATTGCTCAAAACATCAAAATAATGAAATCAAATAACGATGAAAATAAATGGTTTACAGTAGTTTACATTTAAAATAAATATGAGTTGCTTAATTTGTTGCGCCAACTTTGTCATTTTTATTTTGCTTTACAAGCTGCAGACCACATGGTGGCAATAAATCAGGTCATAGATCTTTAAGAATGATAACATTGTCCAGTGTGGACACGCTGACAGGATGATAGATGATTTCTGGGTTACAATAACACGTAGATCTATATAAGTAAATACAAAAAAGACCGAGGCTAAGAGCTCACCCTGTTTAGCACCTGGTATTCGTATCGACTGGCATTGCATTGCGTAGTGTAGCGTGGTGTAGTGTAGCGTAACGTAGTGTAAAGTCACGTATTGTATTGTATGATATATTGTTATGTATTGTATCGCATTAATACGGGTAATACTATACATTGTTTTGTCGTTCTATATAAAAACCATCATACCCAAATCTATGAAATGTTTTTCGAGATCAATTACTGAACATTTTTTTTGCTGAATTATGATATACACATGTATTGGAGTTGAAATCTTAAATATATTGATAATATATATTGTCCCAAGAGCTCTTGTTTTATAAGTGTACTTAAGTGTATGTCTGTTACTTTGTACGATTTGATATAATTTCGAAATAATATAGAGGCTCTGGTTTTAGATTTTCTCAAATTAGACAATAACCTTACGTTGGGAATTTTCGAAACTATACTTCAAATTAAAAAGTATAACCAATTAAAATTAGATCATTAAATTATTTTTATGTAAAATAATCTAGCTTGTGCCGATTTTTAATTGCACACATCACCATAGCAACAAGCAATTCAACGGAAAGATAGACAAATGTTTCTCCTTGATTTCGTTAGGGGTACATTAATATAATGAGGCGGATACCATACAATGCCACATTTTTTTTCTTGAAATCCATTAAATCTGTATCTTCATTCTCATTTTAGAAACATAATGACTCCTTAGCCATCAGAAGTGTCGAGTGTATTATTTGAAGGGCGCCCTCTAAATTTCAAATTAACATAAGTGCGCATTCTATATAGTATGGCAATTCGCTCTTCTAACTTAATCTCTGAAACAAACAAGATTTAACCGTGGTATAAAATGCAAAGATTCGGACATTAAAAAGAAACCTCTATACATTTTGCTAACTTTTACTGTTAACAATTGACCCGAAACGTCGATATATTCAGTTTAAGCTGAGAAAATATGAATGAGTGACCCAGTCTGATGTCTTTTTTTGACGCATATTCGTTGCTATTGTGACAGAAACGAATATTCGTCTGACTGAAGTTCCATTTTGATAGCGTGTTTTGTCGTTAGGTGTTTGTGTCACTTTTATCGGAAGGGGTACCGGTGTAAACATGTGTTCTCATCCCCACACCCGCATAGGATTGATAGGAATACCCGCATAGATAATGATTACTTTTAAAAGTATATGTGGATTATTCCGAAAAGATGGCAGTAAGACAAAAGTTAGACCAAGAATTTTTTGAAAATCGCCCCCACAAACTCGTGACAACAAATATATTGAACCTGAACCTGATTGGATGTAACCAGAGATAGTTCTGATTCCAAACTATACTCTAAACGGTCACGTGACAGAAATGCCATTTTGGAGCATGACGTATTGTTTCTACGGAAACAATTCCTGTTACTTCTACTTCATCTCTTCTTCCTAGAACTGACACTCATCAAAGAATCCAAGGAAAATTAGGTTCGGTCAAATATATTGTGGAGTGGTGGTGTAAAAGTTGCAGTTTTGTGAATTTGTTTGCCTCTACCTCCACCCCACCCCATGACATGTGTTCCTCTTCCCTTAATATCGTTAATAATTACTTTAATACACACACACCAATTCGCGCGCATTCCTGGGCATTGTATTTGCAACTGAGCCCCACGTACACGTATTTACTGTGTTGTCACGGGATTCCTATGACTAAGTAAGCCAATTTCCCACAGTGCATTGGTCAGGGTCTCTGTTGCGTTTGCGCAGTTCGCGTCGATGACATCATTCAAAATTAACGCCAGTTGGCATATTACAGTGAGCAGAAATTTGTGTCGTTCCTGATTTTCAATAATACGCCAACAAACATTTGTTTTTTGAGCATGTCGTCGTATAACCCGATTGAAACAGATGATTCCTTCGACTTTTTGTTCAAAATTGTACTCATAGGAGACGCTGGAGTCGGCAAAACATGTGTGGTACAACGTTTCAAGTCAGGGACCTTCCTCGAAAAACAGCACAGTACAATCGGAGTGGATTTCACCATGAAGACACTACATATTGACGGCAAAAAAGTTAAGGTATTACACACAAATCGACGTGTTTTGTGGAAAATGTGTTATCGGCCTCATTTCTTTATTGGGGTCGTGTTTTCTACTTCGCCGAACCGATTGCTGCGACGGAAAGCAATGTTGTTTCAGAACCCGGAAGTGATTACTGTGTACTGGTTTCCTGAGCACTTGACTTCAACATGATTGATTTCATTGATTCGACCGTCTAAATGTTTTAGTCTGTGCTACTTAACACTGTCTAAACTTGTACCTTACTGGATCAATATACAACAAAGCACATTGTTTTTCATTTCCACTCCGCTATTAAATCGAGATATGTGTGTATATCATTTGGTCAGACAACAGCTGCCGACAGTCCACGTTGTCACGTTGAATAGAAAACCTAACGCTTGTTTTGACCGGTCTCTTCCAACTCAACTGACGTATTCCGATGTTGACGTGCCATTCAGCCATTAACGCATGATTTAAAAAAAAAATTGAAATTAGACATATCTTTTTTTGATAAAACAAAATCACGTCATCATAAAAATGGTAATTTATAACGAAGTCAACTTTTAATTAATGTAAATTATTATTAATTGTTTTATAAAATTTGCATTTTTCCCATAGTTACAAGTTTGGGACACTGCTGGTCAAGAAAGGTTTCGTACAATAACACAGAGCTATTATCGTAGTGCAAATGGTGTTATCATTGCCTATGACATCACAAAACGAGAAAGTTTTAACAATGTACCAAGGTGGGTTGAAGACGTAAAAAAATACGCAGGCGCTAATGTTATGCAGATGCTCATAGGTGAGTATCTCAAATAATGTTTATATCAACTTTGACCTTTTACTCTTGTAAAGAGTTTATAAGTCCAAATCTTAGTGAACTGTTGATTCCACTGCTTCACAAATAAATTTACAATGACAATGACATTGTGCATTGTTGCCATTTTGAAATATTATGGACTGAACATCAGATTAGAGAAAGTAGGTCACTGTACTGTAAAATCTATATTAAAAGCCACTGCTTCTATTAAAATGATACAATGCAACAGACTAGATGCGGCTTCTATTAGAGCATCTACACGTATGAGAAATGGTGAATTTTTTGGTTCTCATTTGTTCAAAAAGAATGGGTATGGCTTCTATTAGAAATACAGCTTCTAGCACAGATTTTTCAGTATGTCATTATATTGTTTAGGCAAATGTATTTTACATATGTTACATATGTATATATAGCATGGGACCCATCTTGAAAACAACACATTGATTAAATAGTGTTATGAAACCACAACTATTGTGTTAAGGGGTGGCAGTCATCGCGCTGCGCATGTTCAACATTTGTGTTGATAAACATTGATTTTCCCACAATCCAATGCGCTCTTCTAATGGAAATTACCAGTATGAGGTTTGACCTGGACACGACTTGCACTAATTACCACCGGTGACTTCCAATCACCTGAAAAAATACCTAATTAAAGCTTGATAACGTCTCAGTTTGTACTCGTTGATCTGCGCAACAGTCAAAGTCATCTTTATTTATATGAGACCCATATATCTCGTGCATGCGTGGCGCGGTGACTAACCGCCAGTTGAGCTAGTTTCTCATTGTACACATACCACAAAATTACTGCATGCTATAAAAGTACAAACTGCAAAGGCTCATGGATAGACGTTTGTTTGTAAACAATGACACGCTATGGTCATCTGACGCATCATCTGACAACTTCCTCGCTTTAACATCATGTATCTTATTTCACTAGAAAACATGAGTTTTTTATCCTAAATCGTAAACATGGATTTTAACATACATATCAGAAGTAATGTTTTGGGTGGGCCATGATATAAAACTGTGTACCAGTATGGAATAGAATAGAATCTTTATTGCTGTTTGTACCTCATATTTGAGGTTTTGATTAAAAGTACAATAAAGTAATAAATTCTGAAAACATAAAAAATAACTAACACTAACACTAACAAGACGCTCAAAAATTGGATACTAGTAATTTGTATTTTCTGAAACAGCTGGTTTAAGCATTTCTCCTTTAATTAAATTTTCTCATATAATAAAACAGTTATAGATGTGTTTTGCCACATCATTTATAATTTTTTCATCTTTATTGTTTAAAATATTAATTAATAACTGTTCATTGTTTTTGTTGTCATGAATAATATTGTGTTTTCTAAACAAACTTCCTTTTCTTTAGCATATAACTGACATGACAGCAAGAAGTTTTCCATTTCTTCACTTTCACAAACTGAACTTTTTCTATCAGAGATTGGTACATTTTTGTACCTTCCCATTTTAACTGTAAGCGATGGGCGCTTATCCTCAATTTGGTCTTTGCAGAGTGACATAGTGGTTTTTTATTATTTTGAAGTATTTCTCTAGTGAAAAATCTGTTTTAAATTTTCTGTACTTTGTAGTCAGTGTGCATAAATATTTTACATCTTATCTGGCATTGAGCTATAAGTTTTTCACAAACGTCTATTATTAAGGCTTCACTGTGTTTTAATTCTTCGTTTTTCCAGATATTGAGTTTTAATTCTCATCTAAAATTTGGATCACACTAGATACCCTATTACTGTATAAGTTGTGCATTTCAAAACCAAGCTTATATGCTTCGCTTATTATTTGCCATATTTCTTATCCTCATCCAATATTTTATCATTTGCCTAGTGCTTTCTATGACAAGAAGATATCTTCCTACTTCCCTAGTGTGTTTAATTATGTCACTAGATCAAATTTCTGCACAGTACGGAAGAACTGGTTTAATAACTGCATCAAACATTCTTATATATGGTATATATGGTACTGATTAATTAGATTAATTCTGTAATTTCATTTAAATCATAATTATTCATTAAATCCTTGATATAAATAATCGCATGATCACTGCGTGACATTTTCAACTTTCATCAAAATATTGTGGTAATAAACCATCAATCGGTACTCAATGCAAATTACTTATTGCTTATGATATCAAGGGATGTCCACTGAGAGATAAACTATAAAATAAAAAAAAGGAAATCCTTATGATGACGGGGTGACCTTGTGATAACACTGTTTATTGCTATACCCTTGACTTACTGATGTACCTATATTGTCCCTATGAAAAGACCAATGTAACATAGTACTGTGG